AATATATTGGCAGACTAACAGTATGGTTAAAATTGAGGTACTTTGGCATTTATTTAAATTATTCTTCTGTTCTCATGAGTATTGAAATTTATCTCACTCACTAGCGGGAACCATTGCGAATACATTGATATATAATAATATTCAATTATGTTAGTTTCTTCGATGATTTGTGTCCTCATCTGAAGCTCTGTTACACGGTAAAAATATACATACTAAATCGCCCCCTTAATGGTCGCAAGACTAATTTTTTATATGGGACATATTTGCGATCCACTTTGCTTCAGATTATCCTCTTTTTTTTTGTGACCTAGGCCAGAGATAATATTGGTGGAATCATTTGTAATTCAGGTCTTTTTCATATGAATTACATAAAAAACCGACCTAACCTCTTTCTAGTTTTATTTTCTTATATAAAAAATTTAAAAACATATGGGGAGCCTTGAAGCCATATGTCAAAGTCGTCACAGTATATGACAGGCTGCACCACTGAATAGTGAATATATACATTTTCGCGATCTGTTCAGGTTAGACAAGGTTAGAAATAAGATTAAAAAGAGATAGAAACAGTAACTACAAGTCAGACGTATTCACCAATATTCACTCGCGAAAAAAAGCCTATTGTCTTTCCAGATTCAAATTTGACGAAGTTATGAATTCTTAAAGAAACGTCTATTTTAAAGGTTTTTCTGGATTTTTTCTATAAGAAATGAACTGATCGGGTTGCACAAAAAACCATTTTATAGGTTTTTTTATTCTTTACAAAAGTCCTATTGAGAGTAAGACGATTCCATCATTATTTTTCTAGATATTATAAAAAAAAAACAAGAAAATGTCATTTCTTTGTATTTTTATTGTTTACGACTTTGCTGGGAAAATCACTTGGGTTTTCATTTACTAAGTATTTTTCAAAAGGTAATACATGAAATTTGCTGTAATATTTAAGTGTGCCAAAAAATCTCTATTGGTTGGCCTGTGATGGCGAACAATTCGTATGACCCTTTTTTCTCGTAAACGTGATATTTTGGTGTTTTTTCGCTTTTCTTATGTTCACTTTGTGAAAAATCCAAATTGGACACATTTTAACTCGGCTTTGAATTTAATCCACCCGACATTTTTCTGTAAATCTACCAACAAATAAAACACCTTCATACAGTGTCTGATAAACTTATTGAATTAATTTCACATTATTAATATCCACCAATAATTAATATTTAGGCTTATACCGATGGCGATAAATTGATACGACCTTTTTCTCTATAAAACGTGATTTTTTTTACGTTTTTTTCACTTTTCTTGAATTCGATTCATAAAAAAACACGAAATGATAATATTTCAACTAAGTTCTGAATTTAATCCGTGCGATCTATTTCATCGTACGTACCGATAAATAAAACACATTTGTGCAGAATCAGACAATTTTATTACTGAATTAAATTGTAAAAATTAAAAAAACGTCACAACTTATTCCAAAGATTAAGTCTGGCCCTAATCTTACAAGAAAATAAAACTATACGACTAATAAAAAAAAAAAAGTCAGCGCTACTCTACTCTATCTGGAAAGTTTTCGTTATCGTCTTATTGTTAAACATGTCCATGGTGACGGCGCTGAGGAAAACGGGAATCGACTTCTGGTGCACCAGGTGCAAATTGATCATGTCCTCCAGCGTGGTGCTGAACTCCGTCTCCAACAGGTTCAGCTCCCCCTCCTTGTTCAACTGGAAGCACAGCTGGTCGTCGACGTGGTCCGAGTACATGCTCCGCAACTTATACAGCGAATTCTGCCGGTCGATTTTGTACCCTAACAGATTGTAGATGACGTTCCGGAACTCCTGCATCTGCGACTTGAAGTAATCCTTCAGCATCTGCGTCTGCTGCTCGTGCGACTTGATCTGTTCCTTGAGAGACTGCACCTCCTTGGGGCAGACGGAGATGTCCCCCAGCTTGCTCACCTCGATGCCCTCCTCCATGTTCTTCAGTTTCTTTTTCAGTTTCTCCACCTCCTGCTCCAGCTTGTCGACTAGGTTTTCCCTCTGAGCGAGGCACTCGGCCAGGGGGTTGTTGGCCAGGTGGTAGGCTTGGCCCCCCTGCAGGGTGTCCTGGCCGATTAGGTACGATTCCAGCTGGATCTCTAGCTCGTCTCTCCTCTCGCGCAGCTTATCGTTGTCGTGTTTGAGCTGCTGGATTTCGTCCTGGAGCCGGCTGATCTGCTCCGCCCTAACTGGCACGATTTCTGAAAAAAAATAATTAGGGTACTTCTTATTAGTACTAGTTTCATTTATTTCCAACCGGTTCCCCATCAATACGGAAAATAATAAATATTTGGATTTGGATTACTCTAGAAAAAAATACAAAAGTACCTAAAGATACAGGGTGTACGGAAGTTACGTGTACAACGGACGATCACAGACTCCTTGACTCAAAATAAGTAGATTAAGGAGGTATATCGAGGTCCGAGGGAAGTGAGGAGTGCAGGGGGGTCCTATGACTCCTATGGTTTTCTTATGGGACTAAAGCCCGCTGCCAATTTGAAAAAATTTTATTCTATTGAAATTATTTTCGATAAACATTATCTATATAGCAAAGAAATCGACTCATATGCACATAGCATACATATTGACTAAGTAACGACATAAAAATATCATATTTAAGTAGTTTTAAATTATATTTAATGAACGCATAAAGACTATGTAGGTGTGGCAACAGCGCTAATAATTGACTAGCAGTCGTACACACTGCGAACTTACAGACTTCGGACATCGGAGATATTGCGCGTCAAATTCTGGTAATGATGTGTACGCGTTCAAAAATGTATTGTGTGTAAACTATGTACAATATAATTATTATATATAGCAAATATATCGTATTATCCTCGTGAAGATTTGTATCCTTTATTTAAAATCCGTAAATCGTGTGAACTGGTAAAACAACAAGAATTATGTTAATTTAGTTCTAAAGAAATGAAATGACACTCGCGCCCATCTCTCGTCCAAGTCAAAGAAAATGTTGGATGCAATTTTGAAGGTTCTGTGATAGAAATTACATTATTACTCATTGTTCGTGTTTTTAATCTTTATTTTAGTAATGTTACAAAAGTTTTGCAACTATAACTAATTTTTTAGATATAAAGTTTGCTGAGAAATATTTATGTTCCTTTGTTATTCCATACAAATGCTTTTATCTCAAGTATTACTAATTATATTAATCAAGTAAAGAAAACTTTATGTAACCCTAAATATTGCTGGGTAATGATTACGATGTTTTTATAAACCATTTAAATATATTAAAAGGATTTATCAACTGTATTTTTTATTCCAATAAATATATCACAGCTTCCTAGTCTTTTTTAATTAATCTAGTTTTTTAAAAACATTACAAAAAATCATCTGTTGTAGATAATTTATTGTTGATAACAATGTACATGGGATTTAGGAAAAATGTATATGTTTGAAATCAATTTAGTTTTTATCAAGTCTTTCAAATGTATTCCCTCCTTGCTGTCAGCTGATTGCGACGTTGCCACATTAATCCTCAAGTCGGACAGAAATGCAATTATTGGTTTCTGTTTCTAATTAATACAGCTGTACTGTGTTCAAAACTTACATTAGTTTTACATCAAAAATAAGATAATACTGTGTACTATCTATGGAAAAGTTTTGTTTCACAATTTCTACATTTTTTTCTAAGTTATGGGCAAAAAAAGAGCCGCAAATTTACCTATTTTCAAAATAGCTCCGTTTATCCGCTAGAGGACGGCAAAGTCCGATAAAAATTTTTGTTCATTTAGAATATCTTGAAAACGACTTTATTTATTTGACCATTTTTGGGTTAGGTCTGTTTTTACGTTATTTAGAATAATTTTCAATTCAAAGTCTGTGATCCACCGTTGTACATGTAATTTCCGGACATCCTGTACATAATAGCTGCTGTAAATTTTCATGAAATTGTAAGATTTTCCTTAGCGAATAATACGAGCTTCTCCAGCTAGATGGTCGTTATTTAACCCCTCCTGAATCGTTTGATTTTACATTAAAATCAAATTAATCAAAATTTCAAAAGCAGCTTTTCATTATTTTAAATACTGAATCGAATGATATAAAAAAAATGTTCTATCAATAAAATTGACAATTAAAAAATTAGTAAAAGTAAAATAAAAAAAGTAAAATAAAATAAAAATATAACTTTTTTATTAAAAATAAAAAAACTATATATCTCTGAAAAGATAGAGAAAAACAACTTTTGAAATTCAATCATTTTTCTGCCTACGATTTTTTAAAATTTTCTAGCCTCCCTAATTCTGTTAATTTTAATAGTAGAAAAAAAATCAATAGATCATTTTTATTTAAAATTTCATCCTCTACAATTTTTATACAAAACTATTTTTTCTAGCTCTTACCCCTTTTGAATTATCTTGAAAAAACACTTTATTGTATTTTTTCTCACACCTCGCCGGGGGTTGAAAAAAAAGTGACTGTCTCTTATTGTTATTATACAGGATGATTCACAAATGGTGACCAAAAATGAAACCCCGTTTCTTTGGTGAATTTTAATGGAAATCTTTCGTATAAACTTTTTATCTAGGAAGCACTATTAAAAACATACAGGGTGTTAAACTTAAAAAATATAAATAATTAATTATAATTTATAATATTTATTAAAATAATTTGAAATTGGGCACATGTATTTAAGTAAACATTGTAAAAATCTGAGGCTTTTTCCTAAAATTTACATGCTCCAGTGGCGGAAATACAGGGTATCGGTGGTATATTTTTCTAAATAAAACAGTATCCCACTGCTTCACGGCAACAATCAATATTTTCGGATTCGTCTTTCAATTTTCTACGAATTACTACTCCCTTTATGTTTTTCGAAAAAAAAGCCTGATTTTCGAGTAAAATTTAAAAAACGAATTTCCCTTAAAATTCATCAAAGAATACGAGGTTTCATTTTTGGTCACCATTTGTGAATCACCCTGTATACCTCAAACTTCTACAGAGTGATTCACAACTTATCCAAAAAAATTTGGGAACAGATGCAGCATGAGAAATGGTCAATATCGAAAAAAAAATTTTTTTAAATCCTTAGTTTCCAAGAAAAAAATTAAGTTGTAGTACTTTCGAGCATTACATCGCTAGACAACTGTAGTCTCTAGCATCATTCGCATTACGCGAGGAGATCCACGTGGCTTCAGCGACTCGGAATACTGAAATCTGATTTTACAATCGTTGTTGCGATAGTGTATACAATAGTTTTCTAGTAGTTAGTGTCAGAAATGGCTTGCGTGTATATCTACTAGGAGTTGATTCATATCGCTTTAATTTATGGTGAAGCAAGACAACATTTGTGCTAGTTCGTAAAAACTGAGTAAGACCGGCCCAAATGTGTTTTCACGTCGGTGGGCAAAATTTTTAACAGTCGTAACATCAAATTATTTTATTAATTAAAACCACAAATTAATTTAATAATAACAATAGCGGCAAAAGTAGTTGAATTTGCTGATATAAAACCAATTAATAAATTAAATAAAAAAGATACAGAGTGGCCTGTCTTTAAGAATAGTACTTGGCATCTCAACTCACCCGAATGTATATTTGGTTGAGCCGTCTGAAGATCATTCTCCAACTTAGTGACCATGTCCCTGTATCCGTCCACCATCCTTTCCAGGTTCTCGATTCGGTCCTTCTGAGCCTGGATCTGGTTGGACGTGCTGCCACCAGTAGCGGTCGTGTTTACGCACATGGTGAGGTCCTTCTCGTAGGAATCTAGCTGCAAGCGATAGCTGTCTCTTTCCCGGCTGACCAGAAGAAGCTTCTTCTGCATGCGGTGGATCAGGCTTTGTTTTTGGTCTCCGGTCGACTTCAGTTCGGTCAGTAGCTTCTGGTTCTTCTCCAGCTCGGCTTTGGCCACTTTGGCTTCCTAAATTGCGAACGGAATTGTTATCACGGATTTTTTTAAACAATTTAAATGAAAACGGTTTGTGTAAACTTAATTTTTGAGGGTGTGAAATATTTCTCAAAAGTGTCACATTTATGCAAAATCGAATTTAAAGACCACCCTACATATTTAAAAAAGAATTTTGTGTTAATTAGTAAAATAAACAATTTCTTACATGAGTAATTGTTTTGAGTTGTGATTCCAGTTCCACCTTTTCAGACGTTAACGTTAATTCCTGCTGCTGTAACCTTTCCACGGTTGATCTTAAGAGATGCGGCAGAGCCGCGTCTGTTTCTGAAGATTCGCAGATACCTCGTGCGACAGCCCGCCACTCGTTTAAATACATAGCGTTCTGAGTCTCTTGAACCTAAAGCGCAAAAACAAGTAATATTATAGGGTTTATTAGTAGGTGTATAAACTTACTTGTAAATCGGCTAATTTTTTCTCTTGTGCTTTAAATTTTATAAGACGATTCTTTAGATCGTAAACCTCCTCTTCCAATAATAGTTTATTACGAACTTCTTCCTTTAATCTGACGTTCTCTTCCTTCAATTGTGCATTTTCTTTCTCCATTTCTACGTAATTAGCTAATTTATGAGCCTGGGTCTGAAAATATAAAAACTGAGGAAGTATGTACAATAAAGAAAATTGAATGTGTTACCTTTGCTTGTTCGTGGAATTCTACAATATTTTCTTTTGCATATTCTAACTCTTTAATATAAACTTTGGCCTTTTGCAACGCTTGATCCTTTTGTTCCAAATCTCTTTCCAACGAATTCTTTTCAGACAGCCTCTTCTCTAAAATCGGCATACAAATATTATGTGAATATTACAGAAGTTTTGATTCTCTACTCACCAAGTTCCTCGGCCAATTTTTTTTGTGCCTCTGCATCTTCCTCTGCTGCCTCCAGCATACTTTCCAATTCTGTAATTTTTCTTTCCAGCCCTGGTATAATACTATTTTCTTCCGATTCAATTTGTCGGGACTCTTCCTTGCACTCCTCCAAAGTCTTCTCTAACTTTTCCACTTGCTCACAATTTTTTATTTTTAGTAAATCATATTTGTTATTAACTTCTACTAATTCACGCTTAATATCAGCTTCCCTTTTTCTGATAATTTGGAGTTGATTTTCCAATTCTTCTATAGATCTTTTGTCGTACTCATGTTGGCGTTTCAAAGACTGATTTTCCTCATCAAACATTAATTGCATTTGTTTCCTAAGTGCATGCATATGACTTATCCTAGTTTCCAGGTTTAAAATGGTATTTCTAGCCTCGACTAGATCGGCTCTTAATCTTCTCATTTCTCTGGGAGATCCAACATAAGATAAATCCAGTTTATTCTCATGTTTCAGTCTCTTCACTGGTGTTGGCTCATCGAAACTACTTTCGTTTGAATTTGAAGAACTTATGGAGCGTTTTAAAGTGGTATATTCAAAATTGTTCATTTTTTCAGTTTGAGCACCAGATTTTAGATTTTTCACCATTTTCATAATAGTATCATTCACGCTTTCAGTCATCTTAAAGACTTAAACCTTTCTTCGAAAATCTAAAAATGCACCAACATAACCTTACACCTCATCATTTTTCTTTGTATTTCAAAGTTGTCTATATGATCACTGGCTACAGAATTTTTTTATTTCACTGGTTAAATAGGCCTGTTTATAAATTTTAAACAGTAAATCCTTAAATTCAATAAAAATAAAAAGTACTCTAGACAGAGACCAATTTCGTGGATAAACTAACTTGACCACAATGTTGTCAAACGTTACAGCATCCAAAATGTTTTGCTGTTTTTTGCAAATATAAGTTACTATCAAGAGAAACTGGAATTCTGTACATGAAAAAGCCAATCGTTTTAATATTTGCCAGAAAAATTATATAGTACTGGATAATAAATTATTATAAAGAAAAAAGCCGGGTTAAAATTATTATACGCGTGGCAACAGTGTAAAATTATTACTATTCGTCTGGTAGAGAAATTTCCCTCCCTAAAACAAACTATTTGAAATTTAGGAAAATCAATAATAATTTATGCAGCAAAGGAGTTCTTGTAAGGCTATAGTTAAATGTAGGTGATTTAATATTGTATATAGGTGGTCGCATATATTTGTCTTATATAGTTTAAACCCTAGATTTTGCTGTAAATTCAGTTTAATTTATATTTCTGAAAAATTTTGGCAACCTCCTGCATAATTGCGCAGATTACTTGAGCCAATCACGGCACATCTCGTGTCTGGTCATGCGCAGTAGTTTAAGTACTGCAGAAGCGACGAACGCCATTTTGCAAGCGTCGCGCGATTGTTTGAGAAACGCTCTAGTTGAGCCAGTGTTTTTAACACGGTAGTACGAGTGTATTTTCATTACAATTTAAAACCAAAACGCCGGTATGGGTGATTATCAAGTAACAGGAGTTCAACAGGATGTACTCGGTGCTGTGCAGCTAGAACTCGGAGGAAATCCTAATACCTTGGCGTTACGCCGGCCTTTCGACCCTTTGGCCCATGACTTGGAGGCCAGTTTTAGATTGACGCGGTTTGCGGATTTGAAAGGCCGCGGATGCAAGGTGCCCCAAGAGGTTCTCAACAAGCTAGTAGAGGGACTCCAACAGGACTACAACTCTGCAGCAGAGCACGAACATGCACATTTCATGCATATGGCCATTCCGAGGATCGGAATCGGCCTTGATTGTTCGGTAAGCATTATCATTGTTTGATCTCTAGGTCCCGCGTTGCACAAGTGTTGTAGAAAAGTACCTGATATCTACAAAAACCCCACAACTTTTTTTGACAATCATGTTCGTTGTTTACGTTTTGAAACTGACCTACTACTATTTATCTTATTGTGTGGGCTGCCAACTATTAGTTATTTATTATTTGGTGTTAAAGGCGCTTAAGGGCTACGATTGGTTTTTCTAGAATCTGCAAACTCGTCTTTAAATTGTGATGTTGCATACTACGAAAAGTTTTTATGTTATTAATTTAATAATTTCTCAGTTCCCTTTAATTTCACAAAGTACAGCTCTTCTTGTACCCAGCGCAGATATATTGAAATTTAGATTTTACTATAATAGAATGTTCAGTAATAAATGCGGTATAAATTACATTCAAATGTCGGGTAAGTGGATATTATGAACTTTTAGCAATATCACGTGACGTATTCGCGCGAATCCATACAAATACTTTCCCATGATTTCGCAACTATTTTTTTTCCGTGTTTACTTAAAACGTTGATTCTAATGTATATATAAACGATAACAAGCAATGTAAAATAGAGTAGAACAATAAATGATGATGGTCTACTTTTTATAAATTTTTTTCATATTTCTTTTAAAGGAAAGCTTAAATTCCACTTCTCCTTTAAAACATATTTATTTCCTTTTAGGTATAATAAAATATTTGAAATATCTTAAAAAAGGTAGAATTAGTTTAAAGTAAAAGATATAGTGTGGTAAAAATTTGAAATTTTCTTAAGGAAATAAGGAAATTTTAGTGTATAGAACAGTCTAAAAAAAAATATCAGACAAACTAAATTAAAATAGACGTATACAGGGTAGCTCTAACGTTTAGAATTAAATAATTTTTTGAGCTCAAAAATTTCAGGAAAGAATACTTTGGAGATTGTTTTACCGTTGTTTTTTTTTGTTGTTTTTTTTTTGGTAATGCAAAATGTCATAAAAAATTACGAATTTTTGTAGGAGGTTGATCTTCATAGATACTTGATATAGTTTGTATATAGTTTGTAATAATTACAATAATTAAGAAATGAAGTAATTTTTTTAATATTAGAAAACTAGTCATAATCAGGTCCTAACGTTACGTATTGTATGTAATTATTTGTCTGTGGCATTTTTACTTACTCTTTTTATATGATTGGCGCTACATTGTACAACGTTTAAAAAATACATACATTTTGGCATTAGGTCACCCCCCTACGCCACGGCGGGCTGTGCCTGGTGCAGACCACGGATTTCTTCTACCCTCTTGTGGACGACCCTTACATGATGGGAAAGATAGCTTGTGCCAACGTCCTGAGTGACTTGTACGCTATGGGCGTGACGGAATGCGATAATATGCTGATGCTGTTGGGGGTCAGCACAAAAATGACTGAGAAGGAACGGGACGTGGTCATTCCTCTGATCATGCGTGGATTCAAAGACTCTGCCCTAGAAGCGGGCACAACCGTGACTGGCGGTCAGACCGTAGTTAACCCCTGGTGCACAATAGGGGGTGTCGCCACGACGGTTTGTCAGCCAAACGAATATATCGTTCCCGATAATGCCGTTGTCGGAGATGTGCTCGTTCTAACCAAACCGTTGGGTACCCAGGTCAGTAGTCGTTATGTTAAGAATTAAATAATTAGGGTGTAAAAGGTTGTGGTGTCACTTTTGTTCCGCTGCATTGTGTATATACGATGTCTGGAAGCGATTGGACTAGAGTTCATCTTTATTGGATGAAAATGAACTGATTTAGATCAAATTTATTTCTTTAAAAAGTAAACAAAAATTTTTATTGGTATTTTTTTAAGGCAACTCCCTTTCAAAGATATTTCGATGAAATTTGGTTTATTTGCAATTGATGGACCTAGTCTTATTTTTTTATCCGAGGCAAAATTTGTATCTTTAACAAAAATGTTAAATATTAATTGTGAATTCTTATTCTTATGTAAAAATTTAAGGCGAATGTTAGTGACAGAATAATTTTAACAGGATGTTAAAAATCTGAGGGAGTAGTATTTTAAATAAGAGATCATTAAAATTAGTGGATTAAAATGAAATAGTGGATTTCAACTATAGTTCAGTGCTTAAAAAGAATTAATTAAACTTCACCCTTTTTTATATTTGTATTTTTATTTACGATTTAGATTGACTTACCTCTGTTTGAAAGTTAACGCTTCTGAGTCACAGGCTACTAAATGTTTTCTCATTTATTTTTAACAAAAATGTTAGATATTAATTGTGAATTGTTATTCTGTATTTCAAAATTTACGGCAAGTGTTAATGAAGGAATGATTTGAGCATGATGTTAAAAATCCGATGGAGTAGTTCAAACGTCTCAGTTTCAGTTGCAGATTTTCGGTAATTTTAAATAAGAGAACATTAAAATTTCTATATTCCGTGATTGAAATATCTTTCTTAACTTCAAATTATTGCAAATCACTTATGAAAATTGCTCAGATATAATTTTGTTAAAAAATTGTTGGCCGTTATTTATTTACCTCTAATCATCAACCTGTTTATCAGTTTGCATTTATGCCTCTTATATTATGTCTTATTATGATATTATGAAGGTATTTAAATAATTCAAGTAAATTCAAAATGTTTCATTAGAAAAATGCTAGCAGATCCCATCTTTAAATAACAAAAAATCGAGGTCTGCGGAAGATACCAAACCCCGCAGATAAGATTCCTAATTGTTACGAGGGTCATTCAATAAGTCCTTAGAAAAAGATAGAAAAAGTTTGAGAATTAAAAAAAGTCACTGGGAGCCAAATCTGGTGAATACGGTGGATGTTGTAATAATTCAAACCTTAATTCCACGATTTTGACTATTGAAACTGCACAGGTATGCACCCGTGCATTGTCTTGATGGAAGATCTTTTTCTTTTTCAAATCGGGACGTTTTTTTTCTTGAGTTTTTCACCCATCCGGTTCAACAATGACGCGTAATACTTTCCAGTTACTGTTTTTTCTTCGAAGCCTGTTCACCTCCAAAAACCTACTTTTTTATTGTTCCTTTGTCTTTGGAGTGTAGTAGTGTATCTATGTTTCATCCACAGTTATGTATCGACGCAGAAACTCGATAAAATTGGGACAAAAAAGCTCGTGTTTGTTTTCCAGTGAGAGTAAACGCGGCACCCATCTTGCCCAGATTTTTTTCGTACCCAATTTTTTGTGCAAAATTAAAAACGCTGTGAGACTTTGACAGCTAGTGAGTAATGACTCTTACTAAAAACAGGCCATTTTCTATGCTACTAGCGCCATCTCCTGGATTTTCTAAGGACTTATTGAACGACACTTGTATTTCAGGAATCAACTTTTCTATTGTTTTGTTTGACTTAATTTGATGAGATTTTGCTGAACAAAACGTTGAATTTGTTTGAATTAGCTGAATGCCTTTATGATAGAATAAAAAATTACAAAGTTCACCGCTATCCCGACAGGTAGCGGTAAACGCACACCAATGGCTGGACCAGCCGGAGCGCTGGAACAGAATCAAGCTGGTCGTCAGCGAGGAGGACGTCAGGAAAGCCTATCACCGCGCCATGGACTCTATGGCGAGATTGAACCGCATCGCCAGCAGGCTAATGCATAAATACAACGCCCACGGCGCCACCGACATAACCGGCTTCGGTCTGCTCGGCCACGCCCAGACCCTCGCCTCCCACCAGAAGAACGAGGTGTCGTTCGTCATCCACAACCTGCCCGTCATCGCTAAGATGGCGGCGGTGGCCAAAGCCTGCGGGAACATGTTCCAGCTCCTGCAGGGCCACTCGGCGGAGACGTCCGGCGGGCTCCTGATCTGCCTGCCCCGCGAACAGGCGGCAGCCTACTGCAAGGATATCGAGAAGCAGGAGGGGTACCAGGCGTGGATCATCGGCATCGTGGAGAAAGGCAACAGAACGGCGCGCATCATCGACAAGCCCCGAGTGATCGAGGTGCCCGCTAAAGAGTAAATATTTAATATAATCGATACATTTCAAAGTATTTTTTTTTTGACATGTGACTGGCCGTAAAGCTGCGTCGCGTGGTTTCCCACAGCTTGTAGATTTATTATTTTGATTATTTTCAAGCATTTTTTTTTATCCTAAGCTTAAGTTTCTGTGTCGAAATTTTATAGATTTGGATATAGAGGTGCCCCTCACGCCGCATGACGGCGCGTGTGAGGTTCTCGTTTAGTATGTTAATGTTGATACTTTTTAAATTACTTGGAAACTGTGTTTCGATATACTCTGTTTCGCAGATTATATTATTTTTAATATAGGAAAGATGTTCGGTATTTTGTATAATAATTTTTCCAATATAACATAATTATTCTACACGTTGTGTTTCATTCGCTCCCGGTAGGGCTGTTGCGCGGGATACTCGACCGATTAGTTCTGTAAAACTCGTACGGAAATAATAATAATAATAAAAAAAAATGGGAAGAGGGTGGTTAATTGTATAATTTTTACGTAAATTCACGTTTTTTGCTTATAACTTTTTTCCGTTCATTTCCACGAGAAAACGGTAAAGTACTTCACATGAAATCTGGAATCGGTAAGTTGAATACTTTACAAGTTATGGCCTTATAAACAAATTAACTATTAGTCTGGACGATCCCGAGGATCTTCCACAATCGCACTGATTTTTTTCATGGTAATTATACAGGGTGGTCGCGATGTAATGGGCCAAAATTCATGACTAGATTCCTGTCGTGAAAATATTGCGATTTAGACAAACTCACCTTAGTCCAAAAGTTGATACTTACAGAGATAAAGGGTGTTTAATGCAAAACATTATTTTAGTTTTTTCTTATTTATTTCATAATAAATGCTCATATCGAGATGAAATTTTGGTGTTAGGGGTTTTCTGGGACGAGAGATTGAAATATATCCATGGTTTGCTTGTAGCTCATAGAGAGCGCCACCTGCGCTAGGTCGAATACGTTGAAAACGACAGAACTTTTTTATCTTTCAAAAATCTAATTCTCAGGTAGCAAATTCTGATTTTACAACTTCTTTTACACAAAAAAGCTATACTTTTTGATAGTCGCTATCTTGCACCGTTCTCAAGATATTTAGCTTTGGTAATTCGAGTAATCAAAATAAGGTACGAATGTCAAAAAGAACAAGAGTTTATTTCAAATTATAAATTGTGATGAACAATTGAATATCGAATATTACAATAAATGTTCAACATGTCCGCCTCCAACTTCAATACATTTATTAACGCGTTTGTTCAAAGACTGCCGTATTTTAAAATAGAGATTCTTGTTACGAAATGATTCGGCGGCATTTACAATTTTCTGCCATAGCTCTTCGCGGGTGTTTATAGTTTCTCTATAGACAACTGATTTCATGTAGCCCCAGAAACAAAAATCCATAGGATTAAAGTCAGGACTACGAGGAGGCCATAATATTCGACTCCCACGACCGATCCAACGATCCGGAAAAATGTGGTCAAGATAGTTCCGTACTCTGACAGAATAATGAGGGGGAGCTCCATCTTGCATGAAAAATAGATTTTGCCGTGTATTCAGTGGTAAATCGTCGAGGTAGTCAACTAAATGGTGCTGCAGGAAATCTAAATACAAGTCACCATTTAGATTTGGAGGAAGCTCATGTGGACCCAAAAGGTGATTTCCTATGATTCCGCACCAAACATTTATCTTAAATTCATGTTGGAAGTGACGCTCACTGACTACGTGAGGATTTTCATTATCCCATATGTGCTTGTTTCTAAAATTGAAAATTCCTCGACGAGTAAAGGTCGCTTCATCAGTGAATAGTACATTATCCAAAAATTCCTGGTCAAGGTTTTGCTGATTGCGCATAAAATGAGCAAATTGTAATCTAGCTGGTAAGTCTGCTGCTAAAAGATTTTGCACGGGTGTAAAATGGTAGGGATATAAATTTTCCTTGTGAAAGATTTTGAGAACTGTTGTTTTACTAACACCGGTTTCTCTAGCTACCTGCCTGCTGCTAACTTCTGGATTTCCTGCCACTCTTACTAAAATTTCTTCTTCTTGGTGAACTGTAACAGTACGCCCTGCGTTGTCTCTTTTAGGACGAAAACTACCAGTTTCTCCAAGTCTATTAAAAAGTTCTTGAAATAGTTTCCGATTTGGTTGCCTTCTATTCGGATACAACTCTGAATACCGACGAAGCGCTCGACGTCCAACATAATCTGATTGCGCATAAACGCAAACCATATCGCGCATTTCTCCATTTGAAAATAAATTATGGCGTGGCATGTTATCTCGCACTACGATTTAGATCATAAAGTAAAGAATACTTTTAATAAGGCACGAATAATACTGTAATATTACTGACAGCACTAAGATAAGTGGAAAATGTCAAAATTGGATTTTAACATAAGCCTACTTGAAAATTTTTGCCGATTTGTAATTGAATGCAAATACATTGGAATTTTCAATGGCAAATTTTACGAGAACGGTGCAAGATAGCGACTATCAAAAAGTATAGCTTTTTTGTGTAAAAGAAGTTGTAAAATCAGAATTTGCTACCTGAGAATTAGATTTTTGAAAGATAAAAAAGTTCTGTCGTTTTCAACGCATTCGACCTAGCGCAGGTGGCGCTCTCTATGAGCTACAAGCAAACCATGGATATATTTCAATCTCTCGCCCCAGAAAACCCCTAACACCAAAATTTCATCTCGATATGAGCATTTATTATGAAATAAATAAGAAAAAACTAAAATAATATTTTGCATTAAACACCCTGTATCTCTGTAAGTATCAACTTTTGGACTAAGGTGAGTTTGTCTAAATCGCAATATTTTCACGTCTGGAATCTAGTCATGAATTTTGGCCCATTACATCGCGACCACCCTGTATACATGGTAACAATCTATTTTTTTTTTTTAATTTTTAATTTCAAATTTGCAACCTGGAATTTTTTTTTATTTTTTAGCTTTAGTTGCAAAATGAAATATACGACGCACGAGCGTGATATAGTTATACAGGGTTATCCAAAAGTCCCGGTACGGCAGAAAAACTCGAAGAAAGCATTTTGGGAAAAAAATGTTTCGGACAAAAGTGTAAGGATTTTCCCCTGACTATCTGATGGTGACCTTGGATTCGTCCTTGACTTTAACCTTCAAGGTCATTTGAAGGTCAAGTTATGTATTTTAAATGGGAACCCCTATTTTCATTGCGGATTTGGAAAGAGCAAGGTCGTTGTTAAAATGGTGGTCGAGACCATATTTGGACATAAACTTGCTCCTGCTCTTTCCAAATCCGCAATAAAAAATAGGGGTATCCGTTTAAAAAACTTATCTTGACCTTTAAATGACCTTGAAGTCAAGGACAAATCCAAGGTCACCATCAGATAGCCAGGGAAAAATCCTTACACTTTCGTCTGAAACATTTTTTCCCAAAATGCTTTCTTCGAAAGTTTTTCTGCTGTACCGGGACTTTTGGATAACCCTCTACATCAGGGGTCGGCAAGTAATTTTAGGTGGGATCCGGATATTTTTAAAAAATTTTTATGGGGTCCTGAAACAAAATTCATATTTCTTACAAATTTTTTATTTTCATTTGGACTCAAATTTAATCTGCTTACTAACCATTAAGAACTCAAAAGGCTCACACAATTGTAAAATACTTGAAAAAATGATAAGGTTGGCACTCAAACATAAAAAAAACATTTTTTATATAATTTATTTGAGTAATTTATACTTTCAGAAAATTTTTGGCTGTCCAGTATTTTACCTTCCGCGGTTCGCCAGTTCCCGACCCCTGCTCTATATTATTACATATTCGGAAGAGAGCTTCAAGTTAAAAAAAAATCGTTGAAAAACAACAACAATGGTGAATTTTAGGTTTTTTTTTTTTTCGAAAAACATAAGAGAGTAGTAATTTGTAGAAAATTGAAAGATGAATTCGAAAATATCATTTTGGTTGCCGTAAAGCAGTGGCGTACTATTTTATTTAAAAAAATATGCCACCGATACCCTGTATTTCCGCCACTGGAGCATGTAAGATTTAGGAAAAGCCCTCAGATTTTGGACAATGTTTACATAAATACATGTGCCCAGTTTCAAATTATTTCACTTCCTAGTTATTCAATTATTTAAAAATATTTTTTGAAATTTAACACCCTGTATCTTTTTAACGAATCATCCTAGATAAAAAGCTTATAGGAAAGGCTCCCCTTCAACTTCACCAAAGAATACGAGGTTTCATTTTTGATCACCATTTGTGAATCACCCTGCATATCGGGTGTAACGAATGATTCTATACTTCGCTATGATAAATTTACGAATTAAAAAATTACAACAATTTTAAAACGTAGTAATTAAAATGGATCAAAGTGACGGTTGTAGCAAACGGTCGTTGGTCATAATAGGTTAAGACCTATGCGATGGCATCATTGTATAGAAAACACTTACAGACGGATTCATGAAAGGGGCATAAGGCGTTAGTCGGACTAAGGAGTGTTGTGCCCGTGTAAACGTATTCACAAAAAATGCACTTCCCTTGCGCTAATAGTTACGTCAAAATTTAGACGTTCTACATGACATGCATAAAAATCGTGCAACTTAAGGTGTAGTTTATTAAGTTCATTGCATTTTATTTTTTTAATTGCAATATATTATTATTATATATACAAGACAATAGACGTGGCATTATAATTAATAGTTGCGCCTTCTTCGCGCACTTTTTGTGAATGGGACTACGCTTTATTTAAATTCACGCAACACGGGTGCAAAATTTTTACGCAACTTCCGCTAGTCAGACTAACGTTACGCCTCGTTGATGAATCCGTGTGTTAAAATTTAAAAACAAAATGTATTTGAAGTTTTCTTGATAAAACCTCTAAAAATAATAGATTTTATTATCTTTTTTTCCATATTTTCTATATCTTATTGCCTTCTAAACTAATACGCCTATAGATTTTCGATCCCCACACACTTCATCCTCCTTACTCGTTCAAGAGCTAGCGATGAGTCACTCTCCATAATTTCGACCACAAAGTATAGTTATTCGTCGGCCAAACATACCAGTTTCGGACTCATTAGTCCTTATCGGTATGATGTCAGACATTATGTATCAGGTGTGTTTGGTTGACGAATAATTCTAATTGTACTTAATAGATATTGGTGGTGTAATTCAACGCTGGTCAGGGCGAATATAGCCTGTAAAGCAGTTGTTTCCTGCAATACGACTTAAAATTTGCTTTTGTCCACATAGTGATGGCACCATCTGCAATACAGATCGCTTTTTACGTTTTTGGCCCCCTTGAAAGTATTAGGAGTCACCACCAGATGTCGCACTCAGTTACATCTTTTTTATTGTTAAATGGTTTTGATTATCAATATTAGATCGGTAAATGCACTACATATCGGCAGTTTTAATTGCTTTTGATTAATTTTTTCTTAAAATCGAGTGGCCAACTGGTAGATGTATTAGGAAAATGTTTCTGACCGAATTTCGAACAGTCGATCAAAAATTGAACACCAACTTTCAAATTTCTCCCATCCAATACAGTTTTTGATTATTTTATTCATATTTCCTCTGCTCGATATGTTTTAAACAGGTGGTCAAAACATGAACCATTTTCCTAAGAGAAATTTTATGTTGGTATTTAATTTATTTAATATATACTATTTCCTTTAATCTATTAAAATATTTTCTTTTACTCTTTTTTTTTACTTCGTTACTTTTTCAACCTTTGATAGAAGTGCATCGGTTTTGATTAAAATTGTTCTAACGAGCATTCAAATAAAAACGTGGTCAAGTTGGTTCTGAAAATTTGGATGTAGGGCGTAGCATATAGCAAATGAACTTAAACGTCATCTGTCACAGCGCTATATCGCCGCTATCAATTTGAATATTTTCGTTTTAAAAAGCGTTTAAAATGGTGTTTTCTCAAGAACAAAAAGTGTTTATCATAGAGTCCTACTTTAGAAACGGACGCAAGATTGATGGAATATGGAAGTATTATATTGAGGAATGTTTCATAGAATTTCAAAATCAATTTCCCGGCGTTGTTCAGTACAAAATTTCTCAAAGTGCAGTTCAGCGTTGTGTTAATGTTTTTCGTGAAACAGGCAGTGTAACAAGAAAAGAAGGAAGCGGCCGACCTAAAAAGCGGACTGAAGAATTAAAAGAAAATGTCCAACAAATAATGGAAAATGCGCCAAGAACTTCTGTACGTGTTTTATCACAAATGGTGGGAGTATCAGTCGGTACCTGCCACACAGTGTTAAAAAAAGATTTGCGTTTGTTCTCCTATCGTTTAACTTGTCAGCAAGAACTTCATGAAGTTGATTTTCCGCGACGGGCTGTATTTTGTGAATGGTTTTTAAACAACTACGGTGAACTTCATAATATCAGCTTTTTTTCTGATGAAGCCTGGTTTCATTTAAGTGGTTACGTAAACTCACAGAATATGAGAATGTGGTCTTCTGAAAAACCAGATAACTTTTTTGTCGAGGGCCCTCTACACGCTCAAAAAATTGGAGTTTGGTGTGCTCTCAATTGAAGGAGGATTTATGGACCTATTTTTTTTAATGGTACTCTTACTGCGCAAAGGTATAGAGAAGAAATTATCGCTCCTTTTGTTAACCAGCTGGAAGAAAACGAAATTACAAACTTTTACTTTCAACAAGTTGGCGCAAGGGCACATACGGCAGGCGAGACGATGAATATGTTGAGGGAAGTTTTCCAAACTCGACTAATAAGTCTCAATGCTGAACATGAATTTCCACCGAGGTCATGTGATATTACGCCGTGTGATTTCTTTCTGTGGCCTTACCTTAAAAACACTATTTTTGAACTGCCTATTCCTGATTTAAACCATCTGCAGGCTCGACTTATAGACAAGATTCGTGAAATTAACAATACCCCGAGCATTTTAGAAAATGTCTTTAATTCTTTGAGGAACAGGTGTGAAAAGTGCTTGGAACAAGGAGGGGGACACTTTCAGCAACTGCTTTAATTTATTGTTATAACAAGGAGGGGGACACTTTCCGCAGCTCCTTTAATTGTTTGTTATTGTTATCACGATTATTCTTTAAAATAAAGTTATATAGTCATTAACGTTATTGAAACTGACAGCTGCTGTACAGCTCGTTGAGAAATGAGGTTAAGTTGGTCGCTATAAGCTACTCCCTACGTCCAATGTGTCAGAGCCAACTTCGACCACGTTTTTATTTGAACGCTCGTTATATAAGGTGATGGAATATTTTTTGTCAGTCAAGCAGGCAAAAAAATGAGTTTTCAAGTATTTTTTTATGCAAAAGTGATTTTTCTTGATTTTCAAATAACTTTTATCAGACTTGTGAAAACTCGATTCAAAAATGAATTTTTGTAAAAGCTATCATGACTTGAAAGTGAAAACCCACACAGTGACTTTATGATTAACTAGATGTCCATAAAAAAAACATTTATTTTATCCAAACCTATACATTCTTCAATTTAACGACATGTAAAGCATAATTTATAGACGTATCGGTACACCAGTGCCAAGTGTTGGTAAAAATATTGTAAAACATTCCGTGAATAAGCTGTGTTCTACAGTTACCTAAAAAAAATAAAAAATAAAAAAATATAAGTGTACCCAGTATACACATGGTGTCCCAATTTATAGTTATAAAGGCCCTTACCATCATAATAAGACAATAAAAACAAATGAAATTCAACATAAATATACCTCAAGACGAAGAAGACATTTGGGCACAATAACTTTTAGTTATGATTTTTTTTTATCATAGACAGCCGAAGCCTTACAAGCTACATAACTGCTGAGCTTAGGCAACCAACATTGCAGGACTGATACTGTCAACTAAAAATCCCTAAATCTTAGCGTCACCAACATTACTGATTCGTTTACAATGAACAATGACAAACCGTTACATCTACGCCTGAGATAATGTGATGGCTGATTAGTTGAACAGAATCTTTTGAAAAATTCTTATTGTTTTAACAATTTTTAATTTTACGGAAATTTAATTGCCACCACGAAGCAAATAAAATTACTGTAATCATATTGTAATCATTTATGAAGGCTTTGAATAACGTGACGTTATTTCACATTTCTAAAAATGGCCCCATACTAATTTTAACAAAGATTTATTCATTTTTACAACTTTATTGTATACAAATTTAAGAGAGCCCTACAGCAAATAGGCAACTAGCAAAACATTTCTATAGATTTTATTACACAGTTTGTCTAAATATGAATTAATGCACATATAACAGACTTTCGCCCATTTTAATGCAGATTTTCTATAAAATGGAGTTAACTTGAGACTCAAATTACTTTTTGGTGTAAAGAAATTTCTAATTTATGATGCCGCTTGTTCAAAAGCGGCAAATTACAAATTTCGTTACAAGAAAAAGTAATTCAAGCTTCAAACTAAGTCCATTTTATAGAAAATCTGTGTTAGAATGGAGGAAAGTCTGTTATTTGTGCATTAATTCATATTTAGACAAACTGTCCAATAAAATCTATAAAAATGTACTGCTGGTTGGCTATTTGCTATCGAGCCCTCTTAAAAATTTTACAGTTTCTAATATATTTTTATTTTTCCAATTTCAATTTTGATGATTTTTATTATTCTTTCTTGGATGTTTATTAATTTTTTTAATTAACAAAAATATAATCGTAGTACGTCAAACTAATGGTGTAGAATATAACATTTGAATTTATTTAAAAGAAAAAAACATTGAGTAGAATTTTTCAAAAAGCACCAAAAAAAATCATAACAGACTCCAAGTTTGCAAATTCGAGCTTTCAAATGTGTTTTCTAAGTAAAAAATTATAGAATTCCATTTTTTTTTTCAAAACGAGATACTCTAGCAGATAAAACCACTTAATTGCGTTAATCAATCCGATTACCGCTGCTATGTTAAAGTACGAAACACAATTTCAATAAAAACCGAAACTTACAATCCTCCAGCATCCTCCGAAGCTTAACGGGTTCTATGAACTTCTCGTACTGATGCGTCCCTCTGGGCAGCAACTGTAATACGTTCTCGCTTATCACGATCCCCAAGAAATTTGCCAAAAACGTCTTATTTATGGTAGTTACGAAAATCGAACCGTTCGGCTTAAGGCACTTAACGCAAGCCTCTAGAAAACGATCTTTCTTAGAGACGTGCTCCAAGATCTCCGATGCTACGACGGCGTCGTATTTTTCCGGATTGTTCGAAGCGTGTTCTTCGATAGAAGACGTCAAACAGTTTATGTCGAGAAAACTCAGCTGGGAGTGGGATTTTGCTAGTTCGATAGTGTTGGGGTTCGCATCGATTCCCGTTACCTTACCTCCTAGCCTTGCTAAAGGCTCTGCTAGAATTCCACCTATAAAAGGGAAACGGAGTAATAATTTGTCGCTCCTGCCCCACACAAATGAAAGGGACGGTACGTTATCGTAAATTATGTACCTCCGCAACCCACGTCTAGTAGTGAGATGTCCTTTAAGGGTAGGGGATTATTCAATTTTTCTTTGTCGATTGCTCCCGTATTTACGAGTCCGTCTCTAATCAACGGTATCCTGAGTTTATTCAACGAGTGCAAGGGTTTCATGGGCCCAAATTCGTCCCACCATTCCGCTACGAATTTTTCGAAATGTTTGATTTCTTGTTTGTCTACGGTGCAGGTGGCGGCTGATGCTAAAGACCTGAGGACAGTTTCATTTTTAGACAAAATTGAAACAGAAGATTTAAACAAGATAAACAGTTTAAAATTGGCAAAATACATACACAAGTACACTGTGTCTGGTTTTTCGTGTTACGCCTGCCTTAAATCGTTGAGTGAGAAACAGTACTATTTCTCACTATTTCAGTCAACGCTTAAATACAAATAGGCCGATAGAATCAAGTGACCATTTTTTATGATGCGGCTCTTAAAGGTCATCATTTGGCCTGCCTTGCTGTTTTTTATATGGTTGTAATTTTAAAAAAAAAAATATATATGATAGGTACTAAAAAATAGTGTGTATAATACTCCAGTAACAACAAAGGAAAATTGTATGCATAGAGTAAGGCAAGAATTTGAGCATCTATCATATTAGAGCAGCGAACCACAAGGAACTAATCCAAAGGCGTGAAAAATGTTTAGAAGTTGAGAAGTTGAAGGAAGACATTTTGAACATTTATTAAAATAAATTTGACAATTAAAAACCTGTGACAGTTGTGTTGATTGTTACTTACCTGTCACGGCCAACCTAAAATGTGCGAAACAAAGGGAAACATCATATTAAGAAAAGGGAAATGTTTATCCGCAAATAAAATGAAAACCACTGGGTTTAGGTATAGGGAAACTTTAACAAAGTTAGACTAAATTTTAGTGCAGAATACGAATACGTTAAAAAAATAGGGGTTCCATTTAAAAACTTCGAGTTTTCTACAATTTCTGAACTTCATATTCGATCTTTTTTTTGACCACTCTGTATAAAAACTGGAAAATTTTCATATCAAATTCGAAAAATTGGATCTTCCTCTACAAAATGTCCAATTTGCACAAAAAAATAATAGTCCACAGTACAAGCCTCCCCAAGGTGGGCCCCATATTCTTTAAATAGTGTTTTCCGCAAAGATAAATAATTTCAAACATTTAATAACTGAATAATCTAAAGCTTAACAAATAATAGGAATGTTATGTCATGCCACCTGAGTATTTTCAAAGACGCCGCAGTAAAACGAATAAACGGGTGCAAAAAACGATCAAACCATCAAGGTTTTAGGTACTGAAATCTACGAATATACTAACTTTTTTATATATAACTCCACATGTAAATATTCTTATAACATTTACTTGCTTAGTCCTACATATAAAATTGTTTACTTTTATTTATAAGTACGTAAAAATTATTCTTAAAATGTGGGGTTAGGATAACAGAAAACGCATGTATTACAAACGCTTTTTTTAGTTATTATTTTATTTGGGTAAATTTAAATGGTAACAATGAATAAACAAAACATCAAGGATTTTATTTTTGTGCTTACTTTTGTTCTACACGTTTTACTTTTAAAGATTTCAGTACCTAAAAACGCCAGAAATTTCACTATTTCTCGGCCAGGAATATGGCCACCTTGAGCAATTCCATATAAATATACAATACAGGGTGTTTCAGAAAGACCTCCCGTAAATACAGGGGGTGAGGACGACAAAAAATAAGAATTTTTTGTCATATGTCTATCTTCTCTTGTTTTCGAGATACAGAGCGACAAAATAAAATTTTTTAAATAACATTTTTATGAAAATTTCCAAACGGTGCGAAATATTTTTATGAAATTTGGTATTCCGAGGTTTTTAAGGATGCCAAATACGATGGTCTAATATATAATTTTAATTTATTAATTACTATAGAAGTTAATATTGTTCTATAAATTTAAATGCATAAATTCTATAATCCTTTTAGTTTGTCACTTGAAACTGTTTAAAATCTAATATTGCCAGAATATCGCGATATTTAAGGTCATGACAAAGAAGACATTTTTTGGCGCTTATGTCCAATCTACAGGGTGATTCACTATATTTTGACTCCTCCTTTAAGTTTTTTGTTTTATGAGTTATAAAATGTGAAATATAAAAGTTGCACGAGTTTTTATGAATTTTTCGAAAATTATAGTAGAAAAATAAATGAAGTCCAAACAAAATGGCCGCGGTTGTTAACTTTCTTAAGTTAAATGGAACACTCTGTATATTTTTATATATCTGGATAGAACGTTCCCGGTTGAGCATAGTCATGTAGGGTTTGTTGGGTCCACCACTAACAATAAGCGAGATACTACTAAAAAACGAAAAGAAGGTTTTCTATTAAGAAAATAAGACATCTTGTAATTGTTAAACCGCTTTCAGCCATTTCTGCCTTTTTCCAATTACGTAAGGATTTACAGATTTAGATATAATATATTTTGACAGATCGGACATTGATATGGTAATGTCATGACAACATTGTTATTGTTTGACAGTTTATATTATTATTTAATTAAAATGGGTTACACAGAAGTAGAAAATTGAAGTATTATAGGAATTAAAATAGAGCAAAGTTCCCCATACTCTATTTTAATTCTAAATAATTTTGTACTTCTGCATAACCTGTTTTAATTAAATAATAACACAAACTGTCAATCAATTACAGTGTTGTCAAGACCTAACTACTTGTCATTGTCCCGACCTACCATATAATGTCCATGAGTAATTAGACCTCTCACGGCCTAATTAGTGAGATTTCGTTACATTACCTATACGCATTTTGGACCGTATCAATATCCGATATATCAAAATATAATTTAACTAAATCTGTAAATCCTTACGTAATTGGAAAAAAGGCAGAAATGCCTGAAAGAGGTCTAACAATTACAAGATGTCTTATTTTCTTACTAAAAAACCTTCTTTTCGTTTTTTAATATTATCTCGCTTATTGTTAGAGATGGACCCAACAAACCCTGTATGACTATGCTCCACAGGGAACGTTCTATCCAAATATGTTTGTACAGGGTTTATCATGCTTCATTGTAAACTAAACATAATATTTCTGTCGCCAAGATTTAGGGATTTACTTTACTTATCTACTTACCGTAATTTTGGTAACTGCGCAGTGAAGGCGATTTTCAACATGGTTTTCTCACTGCAAAAGAAATTATTGAAAAATATTTTGTAAATGTACCATGGACTATGAAAAAAAAAAACTGTAGGTATTACAAAATTACATTACTCTTTGCAATACTAGTTGGCTATTGCTATTAGTACGTGTGCAGCGATTTTTGTCAGAAAAAACAAACTTGAGGTCACCTGAATAAAATTATAAAAAAAAGTAAACCCCTATTAATTCAATTATTGACGACCTAAAAAAAAATACGATAATTCTTTAAACAATGTCAATATAATAAGTACTTTTGTTTATTCAATTATTGACATCTACGAACATATGCCACGAAACAATTAATATTTTTAATATTTTCTCAAGTGTTTTTTTTTCTAACATACTTTTTGTTCTCCAAAAAATTAGTTTAAAAAAAAACGGAAAACAATCGGACCATTTTTTTTAATGGAATCATTGCTCAAATAATTATTTAAAAGTAAAAAAAACAACACGGTATTTTTTTTACTTTTAAAACAACAAGATAATAAACATAAGTTTTAATCTTCGGCGTAATAAATTAAAACTTTGAAAGCGAAACTTTCATATCGAATGATATAAAATAATTTGAGATTGATACTTGAGGCCCTAACTATATGTAATAAAAATGTATCTGTATGTATGTAATTAAATTAACTGGATTAACTATCTCGCGTATCTGATTCGTGTTTTTTTCCACAATATTTAAATAGGGGTTCATTGTGGGTACTATAGAAAGCATAGACGCAGGGTTTTTAGAATTCCAGAGGGGCTCAGCTAAATTCATATGTTACATATAACACAGCTCGAGTCCCTTAACCCCCCGTAGTCGGCGCTCGTGATAGAAAGTTTAACTTTCCATTCAGTTACGATGTGTCTACCGCTCCTCGGCCTACTGTTCTCTTCACCAGGTGTTTATTTTTGTAAAGGTAATTGGAGAAAGATTTTCATTAATTGAGACTATTTCACACAATGCATTATAATGAATCAAATGCCATGTTTTAATTAACTGTATCCCTAAAACGTAACATTTAGGTAGGTTATATTTTTTAGTGAAAATTTAATCACGTAAATAGTAGCTTGGAATTTTTTTTCTGATAAATTAACTCTCATGTTAAAATGTGTACATAATTGTGACGTTTTTGTCACTTTGACAGCGATAAAAAGGTGTGTAGCTTTTTATCACCGATAAAAACTTCTGTTCCTCTAAACTAAACTATACGTCAGTTTAAAATGTTTCTTGTCACTACAATTTTTATAAGTATTGTTGAAAGTGCGAGTATTTATAACGAGCGTTCAAATAAAAACGTGGTCGAAGTTAGCTCTGACACATTGGACGTAAGGAGTAGCTTATAGCGACCAACTTAACCTCATTTCTCAACGAGCTGTATAGCAGCTGTCAGTTTCAATAACGTTAATGACTATATAACTTTATTTTAAAGAATAATCGTGATAACAATAACAAACAATTAAAGGAGCTGCGGAAAGTGTCCCCCTCCTTGTTATAACAATAAATTAAAGCAGCTGCTGAAAGTGTCCCCCTCCTTGTTCCAAGCACTTTTCACACCTGTTCCTCAAAGAATTAAAGACATTTTCTAAGATGCTCGGGGTATTGTTAATTTCACGAATCTTGTCTATAAGTCGAGCCTGCAGATGGTTTAAATCAGGAATAGGCAGTTCAAAAATAGTGTTTTTAAGGTAAGGCCACAAAAAGAAATCACACGGCGTAATATCACATGACCTCGGTGGAAATTCATGTTCAGCATTGAGACTTATTAGTCGATTTTGGAAAACTTCCCTCAACATATTCATCGTCTCGCCTGCCGTATGTGCCCTTGCGCCATCTTGTTGAAAGTAAAAGTTTGTAATTTCGTTTTCTTCCAGCTGGTTAACAAAAGGAGCGATAATTTCTTCTCTATACCTTTGCGCAGTAAGAGTACCATTAAAAAAAATAGGTCCATAAATCCTCCTTCGATTGAGAGCACACCAAACTCCAATTTTTTGAGCGTGTAGAGGGCCCTCGACAAAAAAGTTATCTGGTTTTTCAGAAGACCACATTCTCATATTCTGTGAGTTTACGTAACCACTTAAATGAAACCAGGCTTCATCAGAAAAAAAGGTGATATTATGAAGTTCACCGTAGTTGTTTAAAAACCATTCACAAAATACAGCCCGTCGCGGAAAATCAACTTCATGAAGTTCTTGCTGACAAGTTAAACGATAGGAGAACAAACGCAAATCTTTTTTTAACACTGTGTGGCAGGTACCGACTGATACTCCCACCATTTGTGATAAAACACGTACAGAAGTTCTTGGCGCATTTTCCATTATTTGTTGGACATTTTCTTTTAATTCTTCAGTCCGCTTTTTAGGTCGGCCGCTTCCTTCTTTTCTTGTTACACTGCCCGTTTCACGAAAAACATTAACACAACGCTGAACTGCACTTTGAAAAATTTTGTACTCAACAACGCCGGGAAATTGATTTTGAAATTCTATGAAACATTCCTCAATAGAATACTTCCATATTCCATCAATCTTGCGTCCATTTCTAAAGTAGGACTCTATGATAAACACTTTTTGTTCTTGAGAAAACACCATTTTAAACGCTTTTTAAAACGAAAATATTCAAATTGATAGCGGCGATATAGCGCTTTGACAGATGACGTTTAAGTTCATTTGCTATACGCTACGCCCTACGTCCAAATTTTCAGAACCAACTTGACCACGTTTTTATTTGAACGCTCGTTACATAATATGAGTCGTTTTGGAAAAATGTCGACTTAGCAAATTAGAAAAAACAGAAAAATCAATTCCGCAATCCACAAAAGACACTAAATCGTCGATATGGAGATAATTTATGGAGTTTTGTCAAATTCGAAATTACGAACTGTCAGAAATAACTCCATTAAAAAATATAGCGAGTATGTCATAGATTTAATAGTATACTAGGATATTAGATCTATGGGATGTGTTAAAGGACTGGGCAATGGGCATATAATATGAAAAACAAAACTGGGGAAGAAGCATTTAAAACAATCTGGAATTCAATTGCAAAAATGATTTAATAAAAATAATTCATTGCATGTAACATTCAATTTGATCCTTTTATCGACATAACTCTTAAAGAAGCTCGTGATGCAAGAAACAGCAAGAGAAATGAGTTACAAGTTATTTCAGAGAAAAAAAAAGAAATGTTTTGTAGCTGTTAGAATAAGTGATGCTCCCAGTGCGGGTTTGAGGGTGAGTTCGTGAAAAATTGTGATCATTAGTTATAGCCATGGGAATGTATGTCTTTTGTTTATAATAAATAATGTATGGCTTCAAGCCGCTGCTGTAATTGAAAATATAAAATCGACAATAATAAAGTGTTTAGTGGTATTAGTCGTTTATTCTTACANTCAAGGGCGTCCACCCACGCAGAATACTACGCTTTAGCAGATGCATCTGAGGAAGTATTGTATTTAATAGAAATTTTAGAAGAGTTGGGTTTAGATGTTGACAAAATATTACCTGTAAATATTTATGAGGACAATAGTGGAGCAGTAGCTTTAGCTAAAAATGGAAACTTTACTAAAAATTCCAAACATATTAATGTTGCTTTTCACTTTGTTCACGATTATGTAGCTAGTAATGTTCTTAATATTGTAAAAGTAGCAAGTGATGAAAACTTAGCTGATATACTTACCAAATCTCTTGGAAAAACCAAATTTTGTACATTCAGACAATGTTTAAATCTAAATATTTAGCTAAGTTAGTACCACTTCGAAAAAAAATTAATATTGTTTATATTTCTTTTACTGTATCGCATCAAGGGGGCGTGTTAGAATAAGTGATGCTCCCAGTGCGGGTTTGAGGGTGAGTTCGTGAAAAATTGTGATCATTAGTTATAGCCATGGTAATGTATGTCTTTTGTTTATAATAAATAATGTATGGCTTCAAGCCGCTGCTGTAATTGAAAATATAAAATCGACAATAATAAAGTGTTTAGTGGTATTAGTCGTTTATTCTTACAGTAGCAATAAACAAGGAAAATATATATTAAGAATGGCAAAATTGTGAAGTATAAATGAATCAGAGGGATTACAAAAAAGATTTTAGTAACTTACGAACCTTGGATAGAATAAGTCAAAAGGAATATTCAACATGTACGTAAACTGGACAAGGAAATATTGAAATCAGTACACCAAACCAAACAATTTATAGTAACTGTGTATTTAATAACTGTTCCTTCAAATAATTTTGAAATAAATAAAGTTATTTATTTTTGTTGTTCATTACTTCATTCACATATTTGATCGGTAACTTATCTTGCCAAAAACCACGCGAGCTTTTCATTTCATGGATAAATTGCTTTTTAACTCAAAATTTTGCCAAACAGTAATTTTGCTCGAAAAACTGGCATTTGAAAAAAACGCTGGACATTCGGACTCGCGATTTTTTCGTGTCAGTTTTTCTCGTAAAATTACTGATTGGCAAAATTATTTCGTTACAAAGAGAAATTTACCCGATAAAAAGAAAAGCTCTTGTGATTTTTCTGTTGATAAAATTTACTTTCAAGATAGGGTAAAAGATTTATTTGCGTGGTAAAATTAGCATATGTAATTGTGTGTCTAATCTAATTTAAAATGAACTATTTATTATATTCATGTAATATTTTATCAATTTTTTTGCGAGGTTTTTTATATATTTCTAGCTCTACAGGGTGTTTACAAATTTGGACAGGTAGGTGAAATGTATTAATAGGCATTTTCAATAACTGAAATTGTTAAAAACTGCGCTTAAAATCAATAATAATCAAAATTCTTAAAACTTATTGACAATTTTTGGAATTATCCCCGAGTTACATACATCCTACATTCGTATTATTTTTTAAATTATTGATTAAAAAAAATACAAGCCAGTTAACAGATAACTATCCTCTCTTTCGATCAATCGACGAGTGAATCTTTGGTTCAGATACTGCCGCACATTTATATACAGTGAAATGTGGTGGAGCGGCACATCTTCCAATAACTGGGGTTTTGCAAAAATTCAAAATAAAATTCCCCATTCAGTCTATCGAGTAGAATAATAGAATCAATAATAATGATAATGATGAACTTTTAAAAAACACTGTATAACACCAAATTGTGTAGATTGAAAACAAAAATTCACACCACAAAAATAATCAAAATCGATTAATACCTATTCGAGTTTTTTACGAAATTCAAAAAATTTTCACAAATTTTGGGAGGCCAAACGAAGCGATTTTGGATATAGGTGAATTAGCTTAAATCTGCCTATTTTGAGTCCACGAATCTGCGTGATTAAAGTGTGATATTCGCGGCGTGCGCATCCGGTAGGTGTAAATCCGAAAAGACGGCACTCAACATTGGTGGAGAGGATGACAGGTGAGTCCATAAACTTTTAAAGTAAATATTCACCTTGAACATATTTTCTATAATTTTCTATTTTTTGACCCATTCTCAAGTAGTACGCCTATGGAATTTTGTCCCCTACATCCCTCCCCCTCCTAATTTACTCGTCTAAATGCTGGATATGAATCACTGCCCATTATCATGGTACACGGGTATAATTATTTTTATTTCGAGTGGAAAAATTACTAAGAAGGTCATGCCGAGAATAAATACAAAATATGAACGTTATAAAAAATTTAAAAATCTCAATAGGTTTTTTTTAAATTTGATGGCACGCCCATGTCATCAGCCGATTTTTTTTTACACAGTATTTAAACCACAATGTTGATGTTCTGCATTACTGTAAAGTTTAATAGTTAGTAAGGATGTCTATACCACTTCTAGGCCTACTGCTCAGTTTACTAGGTATTTATTTTTTTTAATAAGTATTTGACTGCTTACATTATAATGAACAAAATGATTTTTTTTAATTAATTAAAAAGTCGCCTATTGCTAGGTAACTAGTATGAATTTTAAAATATTAAACTAAATTTAACTTTCCTGAAATATTCTTGTCAAATATCATTCGTGCACGACGATGGCCTTGAAAAAAATTTGAAGGCCATCGTCGATTTCATTTTCCCAAAAAGTAAAATCCGTATATTTTTTCCCTTAAGATCAAACAAATCTATAAAAAAAAGAGCCCATCAGTCAGAAGTCGCTCTAGAGGCGGAGAGCGTGAGCGGGCGGTTAAATGCGAGAAGTTTTGTCAATAAAAAAATAATCGAATATAGTGATGAAAATTGGTACACTTATAGATTTTAAATAGATAAACATAGAAAAAATATCGTCAGAAGGCTAGGTGGTGGCTTAAGTGCTCTCAGAAGCGATAAAGTAGTAAATTGTAAATTGAAAAATAAATCACTATATAGTTCTGACATTTTGTTTATTGTTAGTTTATAACACAAATAGACTATATGTAAAGTTACAGAAGTTAAAAGTGAGGCTAATAGTCAAAAAAACATTATTTATCACCGCGCGTGCAAATATTGCCGTGGTTGTTACGCCCAGCGTTTTTGATCTTTTATTGTTAATAAATTATTAAGTATAGTTCTGCTAATCTTTATATTATACAGGGTGTCTCACATTTAAATAGCAGGACTTCAGGAATCAGTAGAAGACCTCATTTTTAGTCTAAAAGTCCCTATATATATATGGGTCCTAAAACGCTTCGTTTCTGAGATACAGGGCGACCAATTTTATTTTTGTTTTATTTATTTATTTTTTAACTAAATAACCGCTGACAAAAAAAATCATGTTGCGGCGCAAGACTTAGTATTTGAGGGCAAATAATTTGACACAGAAAATCATCGCATATTAGTTCCACTGGTGGAGATAGAGGGGTCTCTATTCATATTTTTATAAAAAAAAGTATAGCCGATTTGATATTTTGCAAATGTTTTCAAAAAATATGAAAGAACATTCAATTTTACCCAGAAAAGGCCCTCTTGTCCAAAGTCGATAGGAGGTGGCGTTTTCAAGAAAAACCGAAAATACTGTTTAGAAGTCAAATTAAGAAAAAACGAAAATACTGTTTAGAAATCAAATCAGACTTGAAATGTCATTCTAATATTGACATTTGCGTTTATTTTATTATATCTTGCACGAATTTGAAGAGATCCCACGACGAGTATGAGAAAATTTTCCAGGATTATTGGTGTTTCCAGGTGCATTATTTCTTAGAACATTAAGACGAGATCATAGATATCCCTACCACTTACAACCTGTTCAGGGTTTACGTCCGGGTGACGAGGAACATAGAATAGCTTTTTCTCGGTGGATTCTTAACTCAATTGAAAGCGACGGAAATTTTTTTATCACACATGTTTTACTCGTCGAGGTGTGACAAATTTACACAATCAGCATGTATGGACACATGAAAACCCGCATGCAATCAAACCACTAAAATTTCAGCACGAATTTAGTGTTAATATTTGGCTCGGCGTTTATAACAATTGTCTTTTCGGCCCTTACATCTTACCTCAACGACTGAATTCTGCGAATTTCTTAGAGTTCTTAGAGACCGAGAGTGCCAACATGTGGGAGGATATTCCTCTGAATTTAAGAATGCGACCACGGTTTCAACTTGATGGCTGTCCAGCTCATTTTGGCCGAAATGTCAGGAATTGGTTGAACACCCACTTTCCCGAAACATGGATTGGCCGCGGGGGTATCGTTGCATGGCCTCCCCGATCCCCTGATCTGACACCCCTAGATTTTTTCCTCTGGGGTTTTATTAAAGAGTTATTTATTTTTGTATTTATTTTCATTTAATTAATTAAAATCAATTTTAACCGAATTTTTGAACTACATATTTAATTTAGTTGTAACACAATGTTTAAAAATTATTATTTGACTTCTAAACAGTATTTTCGGTTTTTCTTGTAAACACCACCTCCTATCGACTTTGGACAAGAGGGCCTTTTCTGGGTAAAATTGAATGCTCTTTCATATTTTTCGAAAACATTTGCAAAATATCAAATCGGCTATACTTTTTTTTATAAAAATATGCATAGAGACCCCTCTACCTCCACCAGTGGAACTAATATGCGATGATTTTCTGTGTCAAATTATTTGCCCTCAAATACTAAGTCTTTCGCCGCAACATGATGATTTTTTTGTCAGCCGTTATTTAGTTAAAAAATAAATAAATAAAACAAAAATAAAATTGAACGCCCTGTATCTCAGAAACGAAGCGTTTTAGGACCCATATATATAGGAACTTTTAGACTCAAAATGAGGTCTTCTACTGATTCCTGAAGTCCTGCTATTTAAATGTGAGACACCCTGTATATAGGAACTTTTAGACTCAAAATGAGGTCTTCTACTGATTCCTGAAGTCCTGCTATTTAAATGTGAGACACCCTGTATATGTTTGTTATAACGAAACAACAGAAGTTTACTCAGAGGTTAAGACTATACCAGAGCTACATAAGTTTAAGTGCAATCGAATAAATTGTTATAATTTTTTTTATTTGATAATGTTTGTTTTCACAAAGGTTTTAAATTGGTTTTTCTACTGAAATACACACAGTGCACTTTACTCTGAATCGCAATCTGATGATTCGTCCTGAGTACCATCATCGTTGCTGTACTCTACATCTGTCATTTTTTTTTGTCATTGTAATTGCAATTGAAAACACACACATTAACACTCGCCATTGTTGGTGGCTTAAAAATTTATTAATACACGAAAAATCTAATGCACAAGCAGTGAACGCTGTTGGAGCTGTGACTGGAGCGAAAATCAGAAGCGAGTTGCTATTTTGAAAGCCAGGCCAGGTACTTCTTTGAAAAATAAAAAAATATTTATTATTTTTCGGTACATACAGTATAGACTCTTTAATCCAACTCACCTAATCCGAATATCCACTAATCCGTCCCGACAAATGCCCGTTTCGATGGTCCGAACAAAACTTTACTTCGAACAAAATTTGGTTTAACGCATACAGGATGTCCCATTAATATTGCGAAAAAATTTAGGGGGAGTTTCCTTGACCAACAATAAGAAAGAAAGTTCCTATAAACCTATGTCCGAAAATGCTTCGTTTCGGAGATACAGGGTGTTGAAATTTAGAGAAAATACAAGGTTTTTACTAATATCTGGAGAATCCTAATTCCGATTTTTGGAATGGGGAATGAAAATGAAGTTTAACAATCACTGGAATGGCTTGTTTTGATTATTTCTTTAAAGTAATAATAATAATTATTTTTCAATATGGTACAAACTTTGGCTTTGTACGATGGCCAATCAAGTTAATCTTTTGTAGAATTACCATTTTTTTCAAGGACTTGGAACGATTTCGGCAGAAGACTGCCTTGCCAGGGATTACGGAAATAATGGTACAGTATGTGTATGTAATGCAGACCAATGCGATACCATAGCCCGGGTGCAAACATTGAGTGAAGGAAGTTACTTACTTTACACTTCCAATATGGCAGGGTTGAGGTTTCAAATTGACAATGGCACGTTCTCCGAGTTAAGCACAACATCGGAGAACAGGATCATCATCGACCAGGATGATAGTTATCAAGAAATTCTCGGTTGGGGAGGAGCTTTTACTGACGCTACTGGTATAAATATCAATTCCCTTAGTTCAGGGGCCAAAGAGAAGCTTATGAGGTAAGTGCGGAAAGCCCAGTCCAGTTATCGACATGCTGCTTATAAATAAACCTGCGATAACAATCTTTTAAGCCACTTAAAACCAAGGAATGATTATATTTTATCTGATTTTATCAGAAAACAGAAGTATCGTACTTTATATATGCAAGGAAAGTGAGTAACGGCATCATCTTGTATTATTCAATACAGGTTAACAATGTGAGTTTCAAAATTATAACAAAATTGCACCACCTGCCTCCAAACCAAAGCAACTATCATAATTTTTAAATTCTCTACCATTATATTTCTAAAGAATTCAGGGCAAACCTACTTTTGTATTTTAATTAAAGTAACCTCAATGCAAGGGCCTAAATTATGATGCATCATTTTCTTCATAACTTTGTTTCCTTAAAATATATTAATGCAATAAAGAAAAATATAGCTTTCTATTCTTAAAAGTTTTGGACATGTGTTGAATAATGTTCAGTGATGCATCTTGAAATATAAATCATCAGCAAGTAGTAGTTGGTATTTTAAACTAACAATAAAATTTTAGAGAACAGTTTCTGGTATTTTTATACTTTTTTAACTCTTCAATTACATAATATTTCTAGATCATATTTCTCTGAAGATGGCCTAGAATACAGTCTATGTCGAGTGCCCATCGGAGGAACAGATTTTTCGACTCATGGCTATACGTATGTCGATGAAACGGAACCGGATGTCGAACTGACCACTTTTGCTCTAACAGACGAGGATTATCAACTTAAGGTATTTTGAAGTTTAATAAAAAAAACTAGCTAGTAGTTGCTTCAAATACTAGAAATCATCGAAATTAACAAATACAATTAACACAAAACAAAATTTTTTAGATTCCGTTGATACGCGAAGCCTTTAATCTAACCGACAACAATCTGAGATTGTTCGCTTCTGCGTGGACAGCTCCGAAATGGATGAAGTTGAACGGAGCTTATTCTGGCTTGCTTGGTTTTCTAAAGAGTGCAATGTATCAGCCCTGGGCCAACTACTTTTTAAAGTTCTTGGAGGCGTATGATAGCGAGAATATTCCATTTTGGGGAATAACCACCGGAAACGAGCCTAGCCTTGGATTTTTCCCTATAGAAATACCATCGGTAGCATGGACCTTTACACAAATGGTATACACATGTCATTCCTTATTTCGATGTCAGTTTTGACATACGTATTTATTCAAACAAAGCCAACTGAGATTAGTAAATATTTTTACTGTAGCCTATTCTTTTTAGAGAATCTGGATTAGAACGAATTTAGGGCCCACTTTAAGAAACTCTCCCTATTCTAATATAACTATAATGGCTTTAGACGATCAGAGGATATTTTTGCCCTGGTATATCGATGGGGTAAGTACTTAACAAAAATTGTCTTATTTTGTCTAACAAAAACTTATAGTTGTTCCTGAATTCCGATGTGCGAAACTATATTGACGGCATAGCTACACACTGGTACTGGGATGATATTATACCACCTTCTATGCTTACCACGACTCATGACACGTACCCTGAGAAGTTTCTGCTTGCAACAGAAGCTTGTGTGGGTATGTTTATGATTTCAGCAACAACTTTTTTTTTATATTTAAAAATTTTTTTGTGCCTTTAGGAGACGGTGACGATATATCTGTAGTATTAGGATCTTGGTCGAGAGGAGAGCAGTACGTTTTTAGCATTATCGAGGTAATTATAATAATTAACGAAAATATAATTTCTACTTACCCTATTTACATTCATTTCACATTAACCTCACTTCCGTTGACAGTACGTAAATCACTGGACTACGGGTTGGCTAGACTGGAACATGGCACTGGACGAAACAGGAGGGCCAACGTATATAAATAACAACGTCGATTCCCCTATAATTGTCAATGCATCAGCAGACGAATTTTACAAGCAGCCCATGTATTACGGTATAGGGCATTTCTCCAAATTTGTTCCAAGAGGTTCTGTGAAAATATCATGTTCGCAATTCGCCAGCGACGTACCGACGACAGCATTTAAAAGACCTGATGGCGGAGTTGTCGTAGTTATTTTGAATCAGTAAGTTGGGAACGCTGTTATCATGATTTTGGCCGTAGTCCAATTTTCACGTTGTAGTCGACAACCAAATAAAATGGTAATCTATAACCATTGTCTTTAAAAATATTTGTATTTTCAGGAGGGACGAAGAAGTACCTGTTGTAATAGCTGACGCTACCAGAGGAGAGGTGAATTTAAATTTATCTGCCCGTTCTTTTACGTCTGTATTGTACTGGTAGAAAATTAATAAAAACTAACCATATAAAATGTATTGACTATACAACAAAATTAATATAAAGAACCTTTATCTTCAGGATACAGAAAATAAATATTTACATTTCCTTTACTAGTCCTAACTGTTTCTATATGTTTTATTAAAAAAGTTGCTGCTATTCCGTATGCCAGACATGGTATACCTAAAAAGATACGTTATATTTATTTAGAGGTGTTTAAACAAACATAGATCTACCTAGATTTAACACTTTAATAGCGCGGAAGAAGTAATCTTCAACTATCAGATTTTGTACATTTCTTTTTGTGCAGTGGTACTTTATATAAGGAAAACAGCCAGTCCTCAGTATGTGATAGTTTGATTGCCCAACTTTCCAATTAAAATGTGATTTACCCCATTGGTCATCTCTTATACTGCTATACTGTAAAAAAAATAACGGTTATTAATATTTACTGTTCAGTCGAGAATAAACGAACTTGGAAAATGAAATTGGACAATTAAGCGCTCTTTTTTTTATTTGCGATTGGTCAAGCTTAATTGCTTTTCAATGACGTCATAATCTGCAAGATCGTAAGATTTATGTTGGCATTACTTGTAAGCACAAACAAAATTTAAAAATCATTGCGGGAAAGCCGATTTAAGTTTTATTATATGTATACAGTATATTTTGTGAAGCACATTACAGCTTATCGGAATGTAAATATTAAAGTTTTAATGAATTTTTTACTAACTTTTACAAAATATGATGTCCACGGAGGTTCATTGCATTGCTTTATGTAACTAGTCAAGACCTCGGAAGATTTTGGCTTTTCTCTGCTGTTTTTGTTAAAATTATAAAATATGGTCCTGGCCTGATTTCTGTACATTTATAACCTGAAATACAGTAATTAAAATTACGTTACCTAACAAATAATAAAATTAAATGAGGAATTAATACTGTATTCGTTACAGTAATGGGTCGAATTAGAACGAATAATTGTAATTAATTTGTTTATACTATTACTGCTCTAAATGGGAACGACTCGAGCTGCATTTTTAAAGTATTAACGTTCGTGACGTCATGGCGCAAAAGAAACATGGCCGCGGAAAAGTAACAAGTGTCAAAACATAGGCGCTCCTTAAGGAGGATGTTACAAAGGAAACCGTAGTGTTTTCATTAAAACTAATGCTATACAAGATGTGGTTTTCATGACGAGTTATCGTGAAAAAGTAACGTTCTGTGAAAGTGATTCTTGAAAATAAATTCTTAGGAAAATGTATTAATTCGCACTCTCCCATACCGACACTGGGTTTGTTATACTCGACGTTGTGATAAATAAATATTTGTGTGACTGTAAACAGGTAGAGGTGTAGGTGTTTGACTCGATAAAGTAGTTTTTAAAGTTAGGTTAGAAAAAATATTTCTAATCCCTGATCGTAACCGTATAAAATGGATTGTTGAATTTCTATTGAAAAATGGAGAAGCAGGCTGAACAAGAACTCCTCATACCCCTTTCTTCCGGTAAGTCTAAGTACCCCCATAAAACGCTTGTCATCTGTTTTCGTAGAGTACTAAAATGTATGCAGATGTCTTGTTGTCTTACCTTAGTTGTAGGTATTGGCACATAAACAATACTTTTGATCTATTTATGTTATGTAGGTTTGATACGGGCGTGTACGTCTGCATCATTTCGCCCTGTGCTTTGCGAAGGTGTCTAAAGTCACATTCGCAGACTAAAATTTTAAATGCTTTATAAAAAAAATCAAATAATGCAGATTTTATTAACTTCCACGAAAAATAAAAATGTAGATAGGTACCTACCTACTTTTTTTTTTATTTAATTAGTATTTTTGCCACACTAACATATTTGTAGTGATCAGTTGTTTTTATAGATTTAATTTTGCTTAACATATTTGCTCCGTCAATAATTATCTACTTTCTCAGTATGAGATATTTCTGGTTAGGTAAAATTAAATGTATAAAATAAACCCCCTGGCACAAATAAAAAATAATTTCTGACAATAATTTCTTACTTTGCGTAAAAAGTAATAATGTGCCAAAATAGGCACCTCCCTGTCCAAATTTTTTAAATTTGATAGTGAATATTTTATTTTTGTTAACTACGACTTGTTTTGCATATTTTCAAATTTTTCAGTGACAATGTACACTTTTAACAATATACAAATAGCTATTAGTAGAGAGTAAAAATATCCTATGTATTTTACTTCGCTTTTGAATTGGAAGAATAAGTATACAGTGAGAGTCACTAATTTGGAATAAACGACCACTAACTAATTACATTAAAAAGTGGTCTCAAGTCAAAATTGAAATTATTTTTGACCTCTCTGGAAGACTTTACATAATTACGTTTTTTACTTCCAAAAATATTTTAAATTTTTTTAAATTATTTAAAAACTAGTAAGTGAAATAATTTGAAATTGGGCACTTGTATTTACGTAAACATTGTCCAAAATCTGAGGGCTTTTCCTAAAATGTACATGCTCCAGTGGCGGAGATTCAGGGTATCGGTGGCATATTTTTCTAAATAAAATAGTACGCGATTGCTTTACGGTAACGACCGTGATATTTTCGGATTCGTCTTCAAATTTCAATCGTTCGCACAGCTGGGTAGCTTTAATCTATAAAATGTCGGTTGAAGAACAGAGTCGGTAGAAAGGAAAATTTGTGACCAAAAGTGAAGTGCTTGAGAATTAGAACAGAAAATAGCAAAAGCAGGAAAAACAGCTGTTGAAGAGAAGATTGTGGAGCCAGAACCTCCGCACACCGTTCGAGGGCATCAATTAATCAACATAGAGTACATTGTACAAATCATGCACTCTCTTTTTGCAGAGAAATTTTGCTTATTTTAGATTATCTACAAACTGTGATCACGAAGTGATTCGCGTGGAAAGATTTAAATATGGTTTAGTTATATGCATAAGTAGCATAAGTACTACTTTGATGCACTTCTGTGAATACAAATGTTGCTCAGAAGAGAAGGGTTTAAAGCGATTGCATTTATGAAATACAATATAATACAACTTGATATGTAGTATTATACTGCGATACGATGTTATTATATTCTAAAAAATATACTGAAATTATTGAAATGTTAATTTCAAAATTAAAAATGATACTAAAAATGTCATAGTTTATGTAAATGCATAAAATTGTTAAATGCGTTGTGATGCAAAGTATAATAGGCCAGGAAAATAAGCTGAGAAATGACCATTTCGCGACTTTTTGTTTCGGCAAGCTGAATTTATCACTATAGATGTACAATATATATTATGTACAATAACATTAGTTTCCGCAGTTATAAATATGGGGGGAAGATTGTTTACAGGGTGGTTATTTATATAATTTTTACGTAAATTCACGTTTTTCGCCTATAACTGTTTTCCGTTCATTTCCACGAGAAAACAGTAAAGTACTTTTTTTTCGTCTTCAAAAGACCTACAAAACTAGCCCTCGAGCGTCAAAAAATATTGATTAGATCAAAAGTTATAAACAGAAGTAGTTTATTTATGACTTTTGAATTAAACATTTATAAATTGCGTTATAATTACCAGAACGTTTTGACATCGCATCCTCTCATTCCTTATCACTGTCTAATAACTCACACGAAATCTGAAATCGGTAAGTTGAATAGTTTACAAGTTATGGCCTTATAAACAAATTAACTCATTATTAGTCTGGACGATCCCGAGGATCTTCCACTATCGCACTATTTTTTTCCATGGTAGATTTCATAATAATACATACATTGAAATCTATATATATTTTTTTAATTTCAAATTTGCCACCTGCCACCCAATAATCAAATTTTTGGCATCAATGAAACACGAAAACAAATCGATAACTAATTCGAAAATAATTCACAGTTCATTTCGCAAAATAATATGTCTCAATAATACGAATTTGGTTACATTTTTTTGTAGCACCCCATCGTCCCCTAATTAACACCCCGCATAATACCGACTTACTTGTCTGAGCATTTTCTTAAAACAATTTTGCGTTTCTTCCTCTAAGTACTTCAACGGCAAGACCAAAAATATAATCGTCCAACTTTTATGACTAACCGTGTACATTTATATCTGGAAAACTTTTCTCGCGTACAAACACCCATTGTTACTAAATTTTTCGCTCAATAGAACCCCGTTGCCTTTCTTTCCATTATGTGTCGCGGCAACCGCGTACGGAACACGTACATTTTCTGTGAGGAGTATTAAACTATTGTTTTGTTATTTTGGTACACGGCCTTATCTGCCCACGCCTCGTACAGTTAGATTAAAATAAATTGGACTTATCTAAATGATGGGGCGTGAATCACATAGGTATAAAAGAGTAATTTAGATCTAGGTAAATATTTATTTGAGTCATTTCCAGTAGAATTTGTTTATTTTGTGTAAGGCTCGTAGAAATATCTGCAGCTTTATTTTGAGCCGAAATTCGTTTACGGGAGTAACAGTGGCTGTGATAATAACAAAATTGGGCACAAAAAATCTGATGCAAGTACGATCGGCAATTAAATACAGGGTGTACCTTTGAATGGGGTCATATAACGAGCGTTCAAATAAAAACGTGGTCGAAGTTGGCTCTGACACATTGGACGTAGGGAGTAGCTTATAGCGACCAACTTAACCTCATTTCTCAACGAGCTGTATAGCAGCTGTCAGTTTCAATAACGTTAATGACTTTATTTTAAAGAATAATCGTGATAACAATAACAAACAATTAAGGAGGTTCGATACCGAAAAAAAATGGTAAGAAAGTTTTCAAAGCAATTGAAATCTGTTAATAAATATGCAAACTGTCTCGTGTAAAAATATCAGATCGATTGCCAATGTAGTTTTTTTGAAAAATGATATTAAAAATTATGCTCATATACACCGGCTCTTATGGGAGTTCGGGCAAAAACTTTAATCAAACGTGAATATTGCTCTTAAAAATGGTTAGGATCGGGAAAATAAAATTGTAATTAAAGAATTAAATATTATTAAACATTTTAAAACAATAAAAATATGCACTTACAATGTAATTATTGAGATAATGGAATGAATATATAACGTTTTGACAAATTTGAACAAACATCTGATCCAATGACAGGAGATATGGCAACACTGTACGCTGTATTTAACGCTTCGACTGACGCGCTATATTTGAATAGCTCGATTATAGACTATAAAATTATTCCAGTTGAAAACATATGTAGTAATAATTAATATTAAATAAATTTTTCGTGGTCTAATGCAATATAATAGCAATTTGAAAGAAAAATTGAAAGGATCTCTTTGCAAAACGAACAGTATAGATGTTCTGTCATAATCTTCAATTTGACAAGGCGACGTCTCACTATCATACACTGAACTTCTTGATAGTTATCATATGGATTCTCGGTTTGCACATTTTACTTTTTTCTCATCAATCCACATTCTGTTTCATACGCATTTGATATTACTTTTCAGTCATTACTTTTCCTTTGTACCTTGGATGTTCATTCATGTTTACGGAATAAGCGCAAAGTTGACAGTAATGACAGTTGACCCAACTTTTACCACCACGCCATAACAATGTTGCCAGATTTCATCCATAATTTTACAAGCTCTTAATTAATAAATAGACACTTTTATTCAAATAAAAAGTTAATTGCCGTGCATTAAACACGAAAAATATATGCAAGCTAATATGTGTTGTAAAAATTTCATTCGTATATATTATATTTAGTTCACTCAAATTAATTTATGTAAGGTTGGTACTACAACGAAACTACCGTGTATAAGCATAGGCTTCCCTTCCGCACCGCCTGCCCCGCAAGAGATGTATCGAACATCCTTAAAGCAGCTGCTGAAAGTGTCCCTCTCCTTGTTCCAAGCACTTTTCACACCTGTGCCTCAAAAGAATTAAAGACATTTTCTAAGATGCTCGGGGTATTGTTAATTTCACGAGTCTTGTCTATAAGTCGAGCCTGCAGATGGTTTAAATCAGGAATAGGCAGTTCAAAAATAGTGTTTTTAAGGTAAGGCCACAAAAAGAAATCACACGGCGTAATATCACATGACCTCGGTGGAAATTCATGTTCAGCATTGAGACTTATTAGTCGATTTTGGAAAACTTCCCACAACATATTCATCGTCTCGCCTGCCGTATGTGCCCTTGCGCCATCTTGTTGAAAGTAAAAGTTTGTAATTTCGTTTTCTTTCAGCTGGTTAACAAAAGGAGCGATAATTTCTTCTCTATACCTTTGCGCAGTAAGAGTACCATTAAAAAAAATAGGTCCATAAATCCTCCTTCGATTGAGAGCACACCAAACTCCAATTTTTTGAGCGTGTAGAGGGCCCTCGATCAAAAAGTTATCTGGTTTTTCAGAAGACCACATTCTCATATTCTGTGAGTTTACGTAACCACTTAAATGAAACCAGGCTTCATCAGAAAAAAAGGTGATATTATGAAGTTCACCGTAGTTGTTTAAAAACCATTCACAAAATACAGCCCGTCGCGGAAAATCAACTTCATGAAGTTCTTGCTGACAAGTTAAACGATAGGAGAACAAACGCAAATCTTTTTTTAACACTGTGTGGCAGGTACCGACTGATACTCCCACCATTTGTGATAAAACACGTACAGAAGTTCTTGGCGCATTTTCCATTATTTGTTGGACATTTTCTTTTAATTCTTCAGTCCGCTTTTTAGGTCGGCCGCTTCCTTCTTTTCTTGTTGCACTGCCCGTTTCACGAAAAACATTAACACAACGCTGAACTGCACTTTGAAAAATTTTATACTCAACAACGCCGGGAAATTGATTTTGAAATTCTATGAAACATTCCTCAATAGAATACTTCCATATTCCATCAATCTTGCGTTCATTTCTAAAGTAGGACTCTATGATAAACACTTTTTGTTCTTGAGAAAACACCATTTTAAACGCTTTTTAAAACGAAAATATTCAAATTGATAGCGGCGATATAGCGCTTTGACAGATGACTTTAAGTTCATTTGCTATACGCTACGCCCTACGTCCAAATTTTCAGAACTAACTTGACCACGTTTTTATTTGAACGCTCGTTACCTGTTCATGTAAAAGCTGTGGATTTCTAAAGTAAAATCTTTTAAATACACCTCCGTTTATTAGGGTCAAGCTCACCTGGATTTGCAAGTCTACACATGCCGTGGAACTGTCCTATTTTGGACGTGCGTGTACTAATATAATGTCTGAATCCGTCTAACAGGACGGACTAAGACTAATCCTGAGGTCTGATTTCATTCACCGGATAAAACGAGAAAAAGTAAAACGTCCTCCTCTTGTCTTCGAACTATATATTTACAAAAAGTGCAATCAGTGAAATGTAATGAACGCACCCAAATTGGATTTTGTCTAAATTTAACTCGGGGGAACTTGATTAACGCTGGTTCGTTTGATGGAAAAAGTGAGAAGGGTCGAAATGTACCCACCTCAAGCTTATCCTTGGGTAGAGGCGAAAAAACAGCGTCACGTTTCAATCAGGCATTAAGTAAAAACATTTATCGGGCGTTTTCTTATTTGTTCTAGTAAGATATGTGTTTTATTACAATTTGCATTGGTTCTTAATACTCTTCCAGGTGTTTTCTATTACAAGTAATCTCAATTTTGTATTAAAGGCGGGAATATATGAACGTAATATTTGCTTGCGTTGCAACGCATGAGGTGTAGGTACAACAAACTATTTCTAGCCATACGAAAATTAAAATTAGAAGTAATATGAATAAAAAGATGCTACATGACTATATGGTATATGTTCAGGGTAGATTCACTTCGATTTCTGAAGTTACAGGAATGGGTTGTTTATTGAAAATCAAGTGCACTTTGCTTTATAAAGTTTTGTCTCAGGCGGCTTAGTTTTTGATCTATAGGTCGTCAGTTTTGAAAAAAAATGTCACGAAAAAAATAATTTTATATGGTACTGTCCAAAATTTATCAGAACCGTTTCTTGCTCTGTTTCCAGCTCATGTTTTTTATTGTGGAGATTAAGAGATACTCAATTTGGTCGGCAAATTTATCAGGATTGTAATCAGCAATAAATATTGAAATTATAATTATTGTGTAAGACCAACAGATAGACTGTCTCGTTCACCCGACTTAAATCCATTGGAATTTTTCTCAGGGAAGTTCTGAAACGTAAGGTTTATACTATCAATACAAACTCGAATTAAATTAAATAAATCAGTTGCTTTTTGTATCAGAAAAATAAAAGAATATCTTGTTTTGTATTCAAAAAGATTCGTAATGAAACTTCGAAAATTATAGTAAACAACGCATATTCCCGAGAAAAAGTATGATGTTTTTGACAGGTTTTGGAGAGTACTAAAAAAAATGTTTTTTTTCATAAGCGCTACCGACTAACGTGATGAAACAAAAGGTCTGCCACTGCTGCTTTATAAAAAAATCAAAGAACACTGACTTAAGGATGATCGGGTGCTACAAAAAAAATGCACCCAATTTCGTATTATTGAGATATATTATTTTTGCAATGCGAAATCAAATTCTGTGAATTATTCTCCAATTATTTATTGATTTGTTTTTGTTTTTAATTAATTAATTAATTATGAGAGAGAGAAAAAGGTAGGTTACCGCACATTTCATAGAGAAATAAATTTTATCAAATATAAAAAGTTCTGACTTGTCGTCAGTCAAGTAATAAACACGAAGGAGTAACGGCAACAGCGCAATAGAGTATGAATGAGGATAGGTGGCAGGAAATTTAAATAAAAGTTTCGATACACTCATTAGTCATTACAAATGGATTGATTACATTCAGCTTGTGTTTATTTGTGTAATTCAATTTAGAATAATAAAAATAAAATGGGAAATTTTCAAATGAAGTATGTTTTTTGAATCTTATGACAAATTATTACATTTTTAATATCATTTTTCATTTCAAAATTAACATTTCAATAATTTCAGTATATTTTTTTAGAATATTTTTGGCTGCAATAACATCATATCACAGTATAATACTACATACTTACATCAAATTGTACTATACGTTCATAAATGCAATCCCTTTAAACCCTTGTCTTATAAGGAACATTTGTATTCACAGAAGTACATCATAGTAGTATGTTACTTATGCATATAACTAAATCATATTTAAACTTTTCCACGCGAATCACTACTTGATTACAGTTTGTAGATAATCTAAAATACGTAAAAGATCTTTGCGAAAAGAGCAGT